TACCATCTTGTCTCAGTAATGTCTAGAAATGTCATGAAGTTTCCACTCAGATCATATATATGACAGAGACAGAACACTGTAGTCCCTTGACCATTGGATAAGACTAAGTGAAAATTATATTTTGTATTCTTTCAAGGATTAGTATGTACATTTTTCTACCAATAATGGCCAACTTTGTAAAATCTCATATTTAAAAAAATTCATTTTTTCAGTACAGGGGATTGAATCCAGGCCTTGAGCATGCTAGGCAAGTGCTCTACTGCTGAACTACATCCCTAGCCTCTTTTTTTTTTTTTTTTTAATTTTGAGACAGGGTCTCACTGAGTTGCACAGACTTGTCTCAAAATTGGGTTCTCCAGCCTCAGCCATCCAAATATCTGGGATTATAAGTGTGTACCACCACCACAGTTGGACCAATTTTTTTTTATTTATAAAACTTAAAGTACTTTGTTGCCAAAGATCACAGACATTCATACTATCACTAAAACTTGTCAGTGATTGGAAAACTCATCAAATGTAGATAAATCTTTAGCTATTTGAAATGTAATTTTAATGAAATTTTTATTGTTTTTTTATATATGACAGCAGAATGTGTTATAATTCATACTATACTTATAGAGAACATTTTTTTCATCTCTCTGGTTGTGTATAAAGTATATTCACACCAATTCGTGTCTTCATACATGTACTTTGGATAATGATGTTCATCACATTTCATCATCATTTCTAACCCCCTGTCCTACCCTTCCCCTCCCACCCCTCAAAAACGAATGATAAAAGTGGGTTTATTTTCCTATAATATTGAAAAGTTTAATTATCTATGCAATCTAGATTAAAGCTCTCCTGAAATATTCTTTTAATGCTAGCGTTAACTAGTGACAGACTTTAATTGACAATAATGAAAATGAAAAGAAATCTTCTCTAGCCTACTTTCTTGTTAGACTGGTGTTTTCTTATTTTAAAGAGCCATTCAACTAATAAGACCTCAAAAAAAAAAAAAAGGCAGTGATTTCTAAGGATATGTATGTCCTGGAGCTAGCTTCTGAAATATTTTAAGTATCAAAGCCACTCTTGGTACTGGCTACTTAATCTTCCATAGTAATCTAATCACTCCACTGTAAACTTAGTTCCACAGAGACACATACCATATTGCATATCTTATAGGGAGTGGAACAAATGTGTTTTCAATCTTATTCAGCAGGAATCTCCTCCATGGGTCACTTGTAGTAATGTGCTGTGTATTCATACATAGACAGTCTGAAGTCTGTGGGAGCAATGAACCCAAGCTATGCCTGGAACAGGAACAGGAAAAGAAAGCAAAGGATAAATGCTTCTCCTTTCTGTCCTTGAATCTATAGTTCTGAGAAATTCATTCTAAGGTTTCTCAGAAGATTCTGGTGGGATGGAGAGTGTGGCGTCCTCAGTGGTGGCCAACTTGATAAGGCATCCTTGCATTGGCTTCTTTTCCTTTCCTGTTTATTCCTGACTCACATTCTTGCTCCCTAGCATTACATCTCCAAATACATTACTGTTATACAAGCCTTTGTCCCAGGCTCACCTTTTATAGGAAAGAAAGGGAAGACAATAATGGGTAAATGAATGGCTATATGGATATAAGTTGGCCATTATTGGTAAATATTATTTAAGTAAACACAAAATGTATATTTCAAGGTATTCTTTTCTAATTGACATATAGAGAAAATCATTTTAGTTAACTCATAAAACACAAATGAAATCTGCTATTCTGAAAAATACTCATTGGAAGTTTTCATATCAGTGAGAAAAATATAGAAGGCAGACAATAGCTACAAATGGATGAATAACTAGTTCTTTTGAGATTATTCATTTTCTCTTACAAAACTATTAGAATGAGTACAATATGTAACTACCTATATTCTGGGTTTCCTCACAGGTAATTTCATAAAGCCTTTCCTAAATTTAGGTGTCATTTATTTTCACTTGATAGATTCTGTAAATAACACAGAATGCGTGACAAGAGACTTGAAAGGATGAGGTTTGCATGTACTTTGGTGCAGTCTAGCAAGAGGCCCTTTGACTGGCCTTCTTTCCTGTTCCCAGGGAATTCCTTAGGCAGTCCCCATGACATGGTACTTTCTGGCAGCCCATACTTTCTCCCAAGGAAGTGCCATTAGAATTGCACACCTCAATTTTTTTCATTACGTAACTTAAATCATTGTTAACATTCCCTAATGCCCCTAATCAACACTGCTCCTGGGGATACCTTCTAAAGAGTCTCATTAGTTCCCATGATTCACAATTACAAATTTAGGTATGAACCCCATACCACATCCCTATATCTTCTGTACTCTCATCTGATTCTATGCAGATAGCCTCATCCTCAGCTCATTCTCCAGCCCATTCCAAATGTTCATCTCTCAATTGAACTTTTTACAGGTCCTCACTCACAACTTCTAATTTTTATTCTCTGAATTCCACTGATCCTACAGCTCATTCTATTAGTTATAGAGGGGTTTCAGGTCCCAATCTCAGTACAACTTCCACTTACATACTCCATTTTTGTGAGAGAAGCCCCAAATTTCATTTACCAGAACATATGCTTGACAGCAACAGGGCATTTATTTATTTAGTTCATTGCCACACCTAGTGTCCAGAAGAGAGATTGGCACAAATGCTTAACAAATATTTGTTGAATGGATGGATTTATCCATTAATTCTCCACATGGTCCAGTTCTGAATTTTGTGTGTAAATGATCCTTAATAAACATTTGTTGAATCAAGCAACATTTGTTGCTTAGCTCAAAAACAGTCCTGTATTTTATAAATTTTAGTTATAGGCCACTAAGCAGAACTTTTCTAAAGTAGTTTCCCGACCTTTTAAAACTACATAATAAAAACATCTCTTCCTGAGAGGGGACTTTTCTTTCAGGAACTTCCCTAATGAGGCCTGGACCACATCATCTGCTGCCAGAGACAAGAATTATAAAATTTAAGCTAAAAACCTTCAGAAATGTAATCTTCTTGTCTTAGAGGTGAGGATACTAAGGTCAAAAAAGCCATGCTGCATGAATTATAATTCAATTGTTGTGACTTACATTTCTATGTTCTTCTGAAATGATTTGTTTTAGAGTATAGATAATGGAAAATGTGAGGAAAAACATGGTTTGGATTGGCAAGATCTGGGCATCTTAACACCAGGCCTATAGTAGCCTGGTGTTTTCACCCATACAGGACAAGGGAGAAAATCATATCTTCTAATTTCTTTACATCTGATATAATTGAGAAGCCCATGATTATAGGCTTATTACTCTCTTCTAACCACAAGAAACAATTGGACAACCAAGCAAAGACTGAAAAGACCCAGCATCCTTGATATTATGGTTCAGATGTAGTTTCCTCCAAAAGCTCACATGTGAGACAATGCAAGATGGTTTGGAGGAGAAATGGTTAACCTAATCAATGAATTAATCCTTAATGGGATTAACTGAGTGGTAACAAGAGGCAGGCAGGGTGTGGCTGGAGAAGGCAGTTCACTGAGGGTGAGGCCATAGGGACTCTATTTTGTATCTGGAGACTGAAGTCTCTCTCTGCTCACTGATCATCATGTGTACTGCTTCCCTCTGCCTATTTCTTCTGCCATGATATTCAGCATCACCTGACTATGTGATAAACTTGCATTTATTCATGCAATAAATACTAAGCTTCTATGAAGCCAATCCTAGTCTTGGAACTAGAGACTGAGAGATAAATCAGATGGCTGCAGTCTCTGGTATGATGGGGGTGATGTCAAGAGAGAGGGATACATGAAAAATAATACATGAAAAAATAATTCCAGAGAGTGAGATGCAGTGAAAAAACCATTCTAATGGGACAGAAAGTGTCTGGGGGTTGGGTATACAACTTAAAAAGGGATATCATGGAGAAAGCACCCTTGAAGAGACATTTGTTTCTAGATTTGAAAGAGAATAAATCAATCAATCATGAGTACAGCAGTTCTGAGATCTGGCCTACTTGAAGGATAGTACGGAGCAAGCAGGTGGAATAAAAAGACAGGAGCACATAATCTGGGGAAGTAGAATTGTATAAGACCTGTACTTGAATCATAGGGCAATGGGTCTTTATTCAGGCTTAAATGATTTTGCCTAAGGTTTTAAAATTTGTGTTTGGTGGGACTGTAGAGAATTAGGAGATTAAGCAGGGATACCAGTTATGAGGCAGTTGTAGTGGAACACAGGTAGATAGAAGCAAGTTGTATTTTGTAGAAAGGGAAAGAGGTATCAAGGAGAATTCCAGGGTTTTAGCTTGAAGCAAGTAGTTAAATGGTAGTGAGAGATTATATAAAAAGGTAAATATATTCATTCATATCTGCAAATTGTGCCAAGATGTATCAAGATTTGATACAAAGAAATGTTTTTTCAGAAAGTTTGGGAAATCCTTTTGTGACAAATTATGTATATATGAATATGTGTAAATTTGACTACAAATCTGAATATACAGAGAACTATGCTGACTCTAGAAATATAAGCATACAGAGGGTATTAAAACCACAATTATGGTGACCTGGTTTGATGATGTGGAAATGAAGAGGGCTAAAATTTGAGCCCAAAGCAATTAAAAATTTAACTGGTGAACAAAGGAGAAGGGATCAGCTAAAAAAAAAAAAAAAAAAAAAAAAGAATGGCTGGAAAGAAAGAAGACTACAAAGAGCATATGCTACTGCAAAAGTCAAGTGGAGAAAATGTTTCCTAAGGAGAAGTGACCAATTACCTGAAATGTGCTGAGGACTGAGAATAAACCCACCACTGGAGTTGTCAACATTGTGATCACTGTTCACTGCAAATATTTTTAATTTTGAGTAGCATGCACACAATGCATGTTCAACAGGAAAGAAGTGAAGATATAATGAGAGACTAGGGAGTTGAATCAGTAAATATAACAGAAATAGTGCAGGTATTAATGGGGATAGGGCAAGGTCTGAGTCTTCAAGGAAGCTCCTCATGCATATTAGACAATATCAAACATCCTTGAAAATATGCTTTTTTATTTTGACACAAAAGAGGTTTAAATTTACATTAGTAAGTACTTTTAAAAGATATGTTACTATAATAAAGGGAAAAGTTGAGCTAAATAACATTTTATTAAGAACACAAATTTTCAATGTATCAAAAATTTTATTCTGAGGATTTCAGACTATTAACATACAAACTTAAAGATATAATTTATATACCACACCACAAACTGAGATGCTCAAACATATTGTTTAGAATATGATTATTCAAAAAGAGCTACAGACATTTTAAAAGGATATTTTCTTTGTCTTATTTCCATAATCTTCCTAGATAGGACATTAGATGGTTACCACATATAATGTGTGTGAAAGAACATATTAAATGTGCCTTTGCAAGCCAAGTCTGAGATGTCATGTAATTATAGACACATCGAAAGAATAGTTTGGAATAATGTTCCACTGTCATCAAATTACATCTTCATATACATGTGTAATCCACTTTGCACAATGGCTTCAACTAGATGTACATGTAATTAAGTCATAAAGTACACTAACAGTTGCTATTTAGTTGAAATTTTGCCTTTTCATTTTAAAGAAATGAAGAGAAAACACAGTCTAGTGAACATCAAAGTACTTTTTGAAACTGCTAAATCTCATCAAAGAGGTCTTCTGCACTGCTATTTCTTAGTGTTTCTAAAGACATGTTTTCAGCTGAGATGTGCTCCTTTTTCAACGTCTCAGGTAGTGAAGAATCAAGCCTAGAGTAAAAAAAAAAACAAGAAAGTTTTATTTTTAAAAAATTCCATTCACAGAGTAAACGAAAATGAAAACACATGTAAATAAAATGACATTTAAATCTGGCTTCAGGATGATTTAGAGATTTATTTCCCTATGCTGTTAACTGTAAGAAAAGAGACATGAAAGAAACTTTATTTAATTATTTAGAATTAATCTGCCTCTATTCTGAGCTAACAAATGTTCAAGGTTCTATAACAATAGTTATAATCAAGGTAAGTATGTAAATTATGCTATTCTCTGTGTTGTAATCATTTCTATACCAGATATTAGGAGGTATCTCAAGGCATTCCTTTACTGAGTCCATAACAATTTACCTTTATTCTTTGGTTCCTTAAATTCTACCTATTGCTACACATTTTAATCTCACAGTAGCAGAAAATTCTGATTACATGAATTTCTTCTAGGTCAGACGATTAAATATAATTAAAAATGATTCTTCACATTTATGGCAGTTGGTCTGCATTTACTAAATCTACATATTTTCATTTAGTAAACTCAATTTTATGTAAGTACAACCTGCAGTTTCTACTTCACTGGACTGACCTCTGTCTGTATGTCCATGTTTTCTTTGAGTCCTAGGATAAAAAGCTTGTTCATTGCCATGATCACTGCTAATTAGTCCTTGCAAGAGTGAGTCACAGGATAATAGAGCTCAACCAGAAGTGGTGCTTAAGAACACATTTATATCCTTGTATAAATCTAATTAGTGGTTTTCCAAGGAACCCAAATAAAATATGCTTAATAATAGCTATCAGAGGTGGCTTCAGAGCCAATTATGATTAGGCAACTTGGTATAGCTGGAAGAGCAGGGGACTGATATCAGCACACACAGGTTTGAAACATGGTCTACTTCTATTAGTGACATGACTTTAGGCAAGTCATTTAAACCAACTGGACTTCTAGTTTCTCACTGAAAATCAGATGATAATATGTGCCTCATAAGTGGTCTAAAGATTAATTGAGGTGATGTAAATGAAATGCTTATAAATTCCTACAAAAGACTTGGAAATTATTATTATTAGCTGCTAATATTGAGTCAACTACCTAATAGCTCCAGCTAAAAACAGAATAAAAGAATAACCAACTAAAATTCAAAAAAATCAACTATGTTTATTTAGATGATGAGCAAGCCAGTTATTTATTTGTTTGTTTATTTATTAGGGCTGAGGATTGAACCCAGGGTTAGGTAAGCACTCTATCACCAAGCTAACATTCCCAGTCAGATGATGAATATATTAAAAATACTAAACTCATACTTAGTTGCACATATTATTAGAAATGAATCTACCATAGGGTCCTTCTTATCCTCCTGACTGCACACAATTAACCATGATTGGCTACCACAAGCAAAGTTCAGATAACATTATCCTCACAGGAATGCAAAGATGCTAGGCATTACTACATTGTCAAGATTACTTTGGGAATGCAATGTTAAAATTATCAAAAAAATACAGGTATAATTCTTATAACATGAAACTAAATATCCAAAAATATGTTCCATAAGGAGGAGAAAATGATATGGTATAGAGTAAATTATGCATAAGTTAACAACGCTAACTTAAAACATATTAAACAAAAAGAAACAATCAATGAAGTGGAGAATGGGACCAAATTTTTACCATGTGCAGATTAGATACAGCACTAATCTCCAGAATATATAAAGAACTCAAAAAACTAAACACCAAAACCCCTAAATAACCTAATCAATAAATGGGCTAAGAAATTGAAAGGACACTTCTCAGAAGAAGGTATACAATCGATCAACAAATATATATATATATATATATATATATATAAAGTTGAACATCTCTAGCAATTAGAGAAATGAAAATCAAAACTACTCTAAGACTTCATCTCATTCCAATCAGAATGGCAGTTATCAAGAATACAAACAACAAGTGTTGGTGAGGATGTGGGGGAAAAGGCATACACTTACATTGCTGGTGGGATTTGCAAATTGGTGCAACCACTCAGGAAAGCAGTATGGAGATTCTTTACAAAACCTGGAATGGAACTACTATTTGACCCAGCTATCCCACTCCTTGATCTAAATATACCCAAAAGAATTAAAGACAGCATACTACAGTGTTGCAGCCATATCAATGTCTATAGCAGCAAAATTCACAATAGCCAAACTATGGAACCAATTTAGATGCCCTTCAATAGATGAATGGATAAAGGAATTGTGGTATATATACATAATGGAATATTACTCAGCATTAAAAGATAATAAAATCATGGCATTTTCAGGTAAATGGATGAAGTTAGAGACTATCATGCTATGTGAAGTAAGCCAATCCCCCAAAACCGAAGGCCGAATATTTTCTCTGATAAGTGGATACTGATCCATAATGTGGGGTGGGGGTGGGGGACATGGGAGGAATGGAGGAATTTTGGATAGGGCAAAGGGGAGGGAGAGGAGAAAAGGGGGCATGGGGATAGGAAAGATGGTGGAATGAGATGGACATTATAACCCTAGGTACATGTAGGATGACATGAGTGGTGTGACTCTACTTTGTGTACAACCAGAGAAATGAAAAATTATGTTCCATTTGTGTACTATGAATAGAAATGCATTCTGCTGTCATGTATAACTAATTGGAACAAAAAATAAATTAATTTAAAAAAATCAGCAAGAAACAAAAGGACCACTCTGAAGTGGCAAATCTTAAGGAAATAGATTCCTTGTGCTCCATTTATGATTTTCATTTCCTTCTAAAGTCATGAGGTGCTAAAGAGATTTTGACTCTTGTTGGAAGTACCTAGACATAGCTGGTGCTCAGTAAAAAACTCTTCAATGACAGATCATTATTCCATAGCTTTTATAACCACAGTAAGTCAATAGAGTAAATGTAAAACTCTCCTCACAGCTATAAACAAAAGTTTAAGCACATTCATAAGTGATAAATATTTAAGACCTTTTATAAATCCTGAAAAGCATAAAACATAAAGATAATTATCTTATTTTGCATTATTGCAAAATTCGCATTTTGTATTTTCATTCTGTTTTTTAATAAAATTGTATTATTCCATACATTTTTAGTTTTGCAACTTGATATTTTTACTCTACAATATGTTTGAAAGGTCTTTGCGTGCTGAAAAATTCAGATCTGTATTCACCATCAAAATTTAGAGCTATATTCATCATTAATTTAATCTGGATGTACTAACCATTAGTCTACTGATTGTTTCCATTCTTAAAAGATTTCATAAACAAGACAATAATTAATATCTTAGCATGGTTATCATATTATTTTTTATGAACAAATTTGTTACCAGATATTATGCTTAGAGGTGAAATCAGAAAACCAACAACGGATTCTCAGCAACACATATAAATAAATAAAATAAAGGTCCATTGACAATTAAAAAGTATTAAAAAAACTTGTAGAAATTCCTATGTCCTATTAATTTCATATTGAATTAAAACATACACATTTATTTTATTAGTGGAATAAAATAAATAATATTAATTAAGGAGAAAAGGATAATGATAAAATAAGAAACTACAGAGTTAAAGGCTGAAGCACACTGTTTTTTTTTTTCGCCTGAAGAAAATAAAATGAAACTCTCCAGATGATGACTACCTTGAGTTTTGTTCTCAAATATATAACTGTAGGGGGCTGGGGTTGTGGCTCAGCGGTAGAGCTCTTGTCTAGCCTGTTTGAGGCACTGGGTTTGATTCTCAGCAACACATATAAATAAATAAAATAAAGGTCTATTGACAATTAAAAAGTATTAAAAAAACTTGTAGAAATTCCTCTGTCCTATTAATTTCATATTGAATTAAAACATACACATATGTATACTTGAATCAAAATGTACTAAAATCATCTAATTAATAATGAATAATGCAGATTAAAGACTAGGTTTGTCAAAAGAAATGTACCACCAAGGGAAAGTTTCTTTAAAGTGTCAGTATGATTCACTTTTTAAAAAACTTTCTGGGAGATGACTTATCAAAATATTTCAAAATGATATTTTCAGATATTTTCTCATTTTGTAAAGATGTTTTCTCAACCAAGTTTAAAATGTAATTACCATGACTGGAATAGCAATCTTCCCTTATTCAGATAAGAAACACTAGTATTATTTGGAGACAATTACTTAGATTTTGTAACATATTCTGAGAACAATATTTCTAAAGCCTGTTAAAAGTGTCAACCAGAGCAAAAGGAGAGATTCACAAAAATGCTTAATGATTGATGGTATTGTGATACTTAAAACGTTATGCTCATTTGACTTGTGACACAAACAGTGGTGCTGAAATAAAAAGAATCAATTTTTATTGATTGGCTCATCTACATCTTTACCTACCAAAAGATCTGGGATGTGTTCTGTTTAATCCTAAGTAGGTGCACATGAAATTCAATTCCAATCTTCAAAGTTTTTAGAAGAAAGTAAAAAAGAATGCATCTAGTATCTTGGGATAAGAAAGTTTGTTTGTTTAAGACAGAAACAAAAAACCATAAAGATAGAAATTAATTAATCCAAACATACTAGAAATAAATGCTTCTATTCATCCATAGACACATTAAGAAGATATAAAGGCAAGTCATAAACTGTGAGGATTAGTGCAACACGTGCTACTGATAAAAGATTAAGCACCCCCAAGAACTCCTACAAACAAGTTTTTAGAACCCAGAATAATTAAAAAACATGTCAAAGACTATAGAGATTTCCAAGAAAAGAGGGCAGTGGGGGTAAATAAGCATAAGATAACAATTTCAATTTTACTAATGAACAAGAAAATGCAAACTAAAGCCAGTGTGAGATATTTTATACCAAATTTGCAAAATTTAAAACATGTAACAACATCAAAGATTTCAGAGGATGCAAAGTAACCAAATAAATTATTGCTGGTGCAATTACATTTAGAACCACTTTGGAAAATCATTTGTCAATAACCACCAAGGTATATAAGATGTATGCATTTATAACTCAGGAATTCTCCTCCTAG